TGGTTCATACCTATAATCCTAGCACTTTGGGAGGCTGAGGTACAGAGGTCACTTGAGGTTGGGAGTTCAAAACCAGACTGGCCAACATGGTGAAACCCCGTTTCCACTAAAAATACAAAAATTAGCCGGACATGATGTTTGCCTGTAATCCCAGCTACTCAGGAGGCTGACGCAGGGGAATCACTTGAACCAGGAGGCGGAGGTTGCAGTGAGCCGAGATTACACCATTACACTCCAGCCTGGCTACAGAGCAAAATTCCATCTCAAAATAATAATAATAATAATAATAATAATAAGCAAAAGTTTGGCTGGGCATGATGACTTACACTTGTAATCCCAGCACTTTGGGAGGTCAAGGCAGGCAGATCACCTGAGGTCAGGAGCTCCAGACCAGCCTGGCCAACATAGTGAAACCCCATCTCTACCAAAAAAAAAAAAAAAAAAAATACAGGCGGGCTCAGTGGCTCACACCTGTAATCCCAGCACTTTGGGAGGCTGAGGCAGGTGGATCACAAGGTCAGGAGTTCGTGACCAGCCTGACCAACATGGTGAAACTCTGTCTCTACTAAAAATACAAAAATTAGCCAGGCATGGTGGCTCACACCTATAATCCCAGCTACTCTGGAGGCTGAGGCAGGAGAATCACTAGAATCCAGGAAGCGGAGGTTGCAGTGAGCTGAGATTGCACCACTGCATTCCAGTGTGGGTGACAGAGTGAGACTTTGTCTCAAAAAAAAAAATAAAAAAGCAAAAAATTTGAACAGACACTTCACCAAAGAAGATGTAGAGGTGCACTGGGCGTGGTGGCTCAAGCCTGTAATCCTAGCACTTTGGGAGACCAAGGTGGGTGGATCACGAGGTCAAGAGATCGAGACCATCCTGGCCAACATGGTGAAACACCGTCTCTACTAAAAATACAGAAATTAGCTGGACATGGTGGTGCGTGCCTGTAATCCCAGCTACTCGGGAGGCTGAGGCAGAATTGCTTGAACCCGGGAGGCGGAGGTTGCAGTGAGCCAAGATTGTGCTACTGCACTCCAGCCTGGCGCCTCTCGACAGAGTGAGAGTCTGTCTCCAAAAAAAAAAAAAAGATGTAGAGGTGGAAATAAGACAACATCATAAGTCAGGATGGAAACGGAAGCTAAAAAATCACAATTAGATACCCAAAAGGACTGGAAGCAGGGACTCAGACAGGCGCCTATTTTACCTACTGTCTTAATCCAGCGGTAGCTATAACAGAGTACCTGCGACTGGGTCACTTATAAAGAAAAAAGATTGATTTGGCTCAGACTTCTGATGGCTGGAAAGTTCAAGATGGGGCATCTGCATCTGGTGAAGGCCTCAGCTGGCATCCACTCACAGTGGAAGTGAAGGGGCGCCAGAATGTGTAGAGATCACACAGGAAAGCAGAAGCCGGTGGGAAGGGAGGCGCCAGGTTCTCTTAACACCCAGCTCTCCCAGGAACTAAGAGAGTAAGAACTCACTCAACCCGGAGAAAGGGCATAGTCTATTCAAGAGGAATCTACCCTCATTACCCAAACACCCCTCACTAGGTCCCCATCTAACACTGGGATTCAGTTTCAACCACGAACATCTAGACCATAGCACCTATGTGAGTAGCATGATTCACAACAGCCAGAAGGCAGAAACACCCAACTGTCCATCAGCAGAGAATGGATTAAAAAATAAATGCTGAAGGCCGGCTGTGGTGGCCACGCCAATAATCCATGCGCTTTGGGAGGTCAAAGCTGGTGGGTGGCTCACTTCAGGCCAGGAGTTCCAAGACCAGCCTGGCCAACATGGTGAGACCCCGTCTCTACAAAAAATACAAATAGCAGGATGAGGCAGGAGAATCGCTTGAACCCAGGAGGGGGAGTTTGCAGTGAGCTGAAATGGTACCACTTCACTCCCGGAAAACAGAGTGAGACTCTGTCTCAAAACAGAACAAAACAAAAGATATGGGCCAGGCGTGGTGACTCACGCCTATAATCCCAGCACTTTTGGAGACCTTGGCAGGCAGATCACGAGGTCAAGAGATTGACAGCCTGGCTGACATGGTTAAACCCCATCTTTACTAAAAATATGAGATTTAGCTGTGGTGCATGCCTGTAATCCCAGCTACTTGGGAGGTTGAGGCAGGAGAATTGCTTGAACCCAGGAGGCGGAGGTTGCAGTGAGCCGAGATGGCGCCATTGCACTTCAGCCTGGCAACAGAGCAAGATTCCATCTCAAAAATAAAAATAAATAGTGGTATATACATACATTGCAGTATTATTCAGCCATCAAAAGGAATGAAAGTATGAATCCTGCTTCATAGATGAACCTTGAAGCCATGATACTAAGGGAAATGAGCCAGGTAGAAAAAGGCAAGTATTGTGTGGCTCCACTTACATAAAGTACTTAAAATAGGCAAATTCGTAGAGACACAAAATGTCATAGAGATTCTCAGGGAGGGGTTGGGGGAAGGGGAAAATAGGAAGTCAGCATTAAGTCAGCGTTTAGCGTATACAGAGTTTCTCTCTGGGATGATGAAAGGGTCCTGGAAATTGATACTGGTGATGGTTGCATGGCAGTGTGAATGCACTTCCTGTCACTGAATCATACACTTGACACTGGTTAAAACACGGTACCTTGGACGGGCGTGGTGGCTCACGCCTATAATCCCAGCACTTTGGGAGGCCAGGGCGGGTGGATCACAAGGTCAAGAGATGAGACCATCCTGGTCAATATGGTGAAACCCCGTCTCTTCTAAAAATAGAAAAATTAGCTTGGCCTGGTGGTGCACACCTGTAGTCCCAGCTACTCGGAAAGCTGAGGCAGGAGAATTGCCTGAACCCAGGAGGTGGAGGTTGCGGTAAGCCGAGATCGTGCCATCGCACTTCAGCCTGGGTAACAAGAGTGAAACTCCATCTAAAAAAAAAAAAAGAAAAAAAAGAAAGAACTGTACCTGGTACCTGGCTGGGCACACTGGCTCTCACCTGTAATCGCAACGCTTTAGGAAGCTGAGGTGGGAGGATTGATTGAGTCTAAGAGTTCAAGACTAGACTGGGCAAAATAAGGAGAGCCCTGTCTCTACTAAAAATTAAAAAATAGCTGGGTGTGGTGACATGCACCTGTGGTCCAAGTTACTCAGGAGGCTGAGGCAGGACAATTGCTTGAGCCTGGGAGGTTGAGGCTACAGCGAGCTCTGATCACACTACCACAGCCCAGCTGGAACAACAGAATGAGACCTGGTCTCAAAAAATAAAAAATAAATAAAAACCATAGCTTTGGCTGGGCATGGTGGCTCATGCCTGTAATCCCAGAATTTTGGATCACCTGAGGTGAGTTTGAGACCAGTCTGGCAAACATGAAACCACATCTCTACTAAAAATACAAAAAATTAGCTGGGCGTTGGGGCAGGTGCCTGTAATCCCAGCTACTCCGGAAGCTGAGGCAGGAGAATTGCTTGAACCTGGGAGGCAGAAGTTGCAGTGAGCCAAGATCACGCCGTTGCACTCCAGCCTGGGTGACAAGAGTGAAATACTGTCTCAAAAACAAACAAATGAAAAAAAAAAAAAAACTACCTTTAAGTGCTCGCCAGGGTCTAGCCCCCTTATTGCATAAGAATCCTTAAAGCCTAGACAGGTTGGTCTTCCCATTTTACAGCCAAGGAAACAGTGTATGAAGGTGCCTAGGTGTGTCTGACTCCAGGCTAAACACGTTTTTAACCACTGTGCAGTTCAGAGCCTCGTAAATTTCTGGCTCCATATTCAAGTCATAATCGGTCTGCTGAGAGCTCAGCGAAGACGGCAGGGCTGCATACAGGAGACGGGGATGAGGCCCACAGGGTGGAAGGGGCAGATCTGGGCTCTCACCCCAGGCAGACCATCCAGTGGGAGGTGTCAGGGACTGCGGGACAGGAAGGGGAGGCCCAAGAGCCTGGCTAGCACCACCCAATGGACAGACACGTGGTCTCCGGGTGCGTTGCTGGAGGGGTATCCCAGGATGGCTGGAACTATCTGGATGCTGTGCCAGGCAGGCCAAGTGGCTGGTCATACCGCAGCTGCTCTGTGACCCTCTTGGCCACCACAGGCCCTGCTAAAGGGGCAGCCCTGAGCTGGGACACTCCCCACAGACACAGCTGACAAGGAGGGCGCTGCCTCCAGGTGGCTTCCCCCAGGCTTGTGTGGGATCCACATGGCAAGATTGTCCCTCAGGAAGCGGATCTGGGGACTCTGGAGACACTGAGTCCCTTGGGGCAGGAGCCAAGGCTGGAGGAGGGGATGAGGCTGTGTGTGCAGTGGAACCCCAGGACCATGGCTGGCCTGGTACCAGAGGGAGGAGAGTCTGGGAAAGAAGTGCTGAGACTTAGCCTAGGGGAGAGCTGCAGAGGGGCAGGGGAGGCCAAGAGGATGGACTTACGTCCAGGTCACATCGGGCTGGACACAGAGCAGTTTCTCCATGTGTGGCCAGGAGCCTATAGGTAGCTGGTTAGAACTACAGATTCTGGCCGGGCACAGTGGCTCACACCTGTAATCCCAGCACTTTGGAAGGCTGAGGCAGGTGGATCACCTGAGGTAAGGAGTTCGAAATCAGCCTGGCCAACATGGAGAAACCCTGTCTCTACTATAAATAGAATATTAGCCTGGTGTGGTGGATCACAAGGTCAGGGGTTCGAGACCAGCCTGGTCAACATGGTAAAACCTGTCTACTTAAAATACAAAATTAGCTGGGTGTGGTGGCACACACCTATAATCCCAGCTACTCAGAAGGCCGAGGCAGGAGAATTGCTTGAACCTGGGAGGCGAAAGTTGCGGTGAGTTGAGATTGTGCCATTGCACTCCAGCCTGGGCTACAAGGGTGAAATTCCGTCTCAAAAAAAAAAGAGAACTACAGATTCCTATGCTCCCCCCAAGACCCACGCGGGGGCCAGGGAACCTGCGTTCTGGAAGCTCCCCAGGTCACTCTGTTGCATGTGAAGTCTGAGAGGCACTTGCCTAAGTGAGGAGCCTGGAAACATGGCGCAGGCCACCAGCCGTGACTTTGGCCAGAGTTCCCTCTGCAGCTGCCCTTCACCACTTCCCGTGGGTCCTGCACTCACCGGACTGACCTAAAGCTCACAGTGTCTCTGCCCCTCACAAACAGCCCTCCAGGGCAGGACCCTGCCCCCACTACTCACCTCATTTGGGGTGAAAGGCAGAGCCTGCAGAGACAAGGGTGTCTAGGCTCCTTTGAGACCCGGCCAGCCTTTAGGCGCCGGGGTCTGAGTTAGGGTCCAACCTTCTACATTGCCACCCCCAAAGGATGGTTTCTTTTATCCTTGGATCTCCTCAGCTTTCCCCAGCTTGGCCTGGGGCAAAGGTCTCCAAGTTAGCCCCATGTGGGTGGCTGGTCTCTGTGCCAGCTGAGCCGTCTCCTGGTCCCACGCCAAGGAGGGCTCTGAGCATACCCCACCTACCTCGTCTGCATTGCTTACCCACCCTTACCTGAGGCCTGCTGGATGGGAATGGGGGTTGGGGTGGGGGCGGGGTGGGGGCAGGCCCTACCCACACCCACCTCTCTGGCTGAATCTCCCCGGTGCCTCCAGCCTCACCCCGCTGCCCCGACATAGCCCATCCTCACCCCAGAGGCCTGTGTGGTGCCTGCAGCACAGCCCGGCTCTTCTGGCACTGGCACCGAATCCTGCGACTGTCACCTGTGGGTCTGGCTCCCCCAGATGGAGCCCTTCCTGAGGGCAGGGACCAGGTGGGCCCGCTTCAGACCCACGGCACTTGGCAGTACCTATATGCAGAGGGCTCCAGGGGTGCTGGTGACGAGGTGAGGGCCGGGAACTGGGCTGATGGGAGATTTGTGGTGGTGCAGCAGCCAGCCCTGCGTGCCACTCTCCTACTGTGAAAATGAAGGAGGCCTGTTCTTTCTTTCGTTGCAAAGGCAGGACATCTGGCTGGAGAGTATCGGTTCTCCTCAGGGAAAACTAAGAGATCCTTCTGGTCCTTCCTACTTTCTATCTTTTTTTTTTTTTTTTTTGAGACGGAGTCTTGCTCTGTCGCGCAGGCTGCAGTACAATGGCTCGATCTCGGCTCACTGCAACCTTCTCCTCCCAGGTTCAAGCAATTCTCCTGCCTCAGCCTCCTGAGTAGCTGGGAATATAGGAACCTGCTACCACACCCAGCTATTTTTTGTATTTTTAGTAGAGACAGGGTTTTACCATGTTTGCCAGGCTGGTCTTGAACTCCTGACCTCAGGTGCTATGCCTGTCTCAGCCTCCCAAAGTGCTGGGATTACAGGCGTGAGCCACTGCGCCCAGCCTCAGTCCTTTCTGCTTTCATTCCTTGTGGGCTCCCGTGGAACTGTTCTTCCACACCTTCCAGAGCCTTTGTTGCCGCTGTTCCCACTGCCCGCCTTCCTCCTGGCGTCTGGTTTCACAGAACGGCTCATTCTGTACCGATTCTTGGTCACTTGTTTCTTCCTCTTAACAACTGGCTGCGGCTATGGCTCTGTGGCAGGACTTCCCAGGCTACCTTATCCTTTGGCGGCTGTGGACGGTTCCAGAATCTGGATGTCCCATGCATATTTACCTGTTCCTCCATGGATGGACATTTGTCTCCAGTGAGTCCACCGTTATAAATACTGCTGCCACGGACACGCTGGGGCAGCCTCGGGGCCCTCTGCAGGCGCCTCTGAAGGAAAGATTCCTGGGTGTGTGTGTGGGGACTCACAAAGGGTTGTATATTTTAAATGGGCACTGGGGTCAGTGCTGTAACCCTAGAACTTTAAGAGGTTGATGTGCAGGATACCTTGAGGCCAGGAATTCAAGACCAGCCTTGGCAACATAGTAAAACCCTGTCTCTACTAAACATTAAAAAAAAGTTAGCCGGGCATGGTGGTGCACACCTGTGGTCCCGCCCCTCAGTAGACTGAGGCAGGAGGATCACTGGATCCCTGGGGGACTGAGGCTGCAGTGAGCTGTGACCACGCCACTGCAGCCCAGCCTGGGCAACTGAGGGAGACATCACCTCCAAGAAGCAAACGGGCACTTGGGGCCCATCTTTTATCTCTGTCTTAGAGACCACGGTTGTGATGTAAATGACCTCCATGCTCTGGTAGTCCCTGCCCCTCTGGTTTCCGACAGCTTTAAAATGAGACCCCAGATGAGGAAATCAATGTCTGGGGTCAGAAGTATCCAGAACCAGCCACATCCCGTGGGCTGCACCTCCTCTGCCTGAATTCCAGCCTGCCCACCCTTCCCATAACCGGTCTACAGTGGGGAGATTGGCCCCATGTGCCTGCCAGCCTTTAGCTGCTAGGTGGGCCTGGTGGGGTGGCTGCTCCCTGCCTCCAAGGCTGTCCCCCAAGCTCTGTGGCTACTGGAAGACAGCTGGGAGTAAGGTCCAGGCCAAGAGCCTTGGAGAGGCCTTGGGGGGGTCTGCCACATTCCTACAGATACTCAGGCCTTAGCGGGGCTTGGCGGTAGTTAAAAGCGGCAGAGGTATAGGCTATAAGCTGGCGTGGGCAGATGGAGGGGCCTCGGGGGTCCTTGGGGGAGCCATGGAGGAAGGGAGCCCCTGGGAGCTGCTGCCCTGGCCAAGAACTCCACCTGAGCCGGAGCCTCTCCTCTGTGTCAGCTTTTCTATTTTAGGCAGCTGCTCCTCCCCTAGGGAATTCCCGGCGAGCCTGCGGGAAACCCAGAGGGGGGGGCTTGCATCCGAGGCTTCAGACTCTCCCTGAGCTCCCACCCCCAGGTTCCCCCTTCAGTGCCTTGGGCTGGAGAGGCTCCCCCACCTCTGCCAAGCTAGTATGCTCACCTAAACCCAGGTCACCCCTTTCCTTAGGTTACTTATCCCCATGGAGACTGTGCTGCCCCCTACCCCAGTCCTCATTGTGAAATCTGGGAAACAATGGGAATGGGCAGCCCCGAAGGTGTAGGGAGGGGACTGGGAGCAGTCTAGGTGTCGGCGTGGAGAGGGCCACAGAGCTGCTGTGGGGACAGCCACGCAGGGCTGATGTCCACACTTGGAAGAGGGCCGTTGTGACTCACAGGAACACACGGGGCCTCTGGAGGCCTATAGAGCAGGTTCAAGCCCCAGCCTGCGTGTACTTGCCGTGTGACTTTGGGAAGTCACTGAGGCTCTCTAGGCCCCTCATTTTCCTCATCCACTTTAGCGTGGAGGTCTTTTAAATCATCTTCCTCACCGGTGAAGATCAGAATAGCTCCCACGTTTGGGACTGAATGAGACTGTATCTAAAGTCCTTAGGTGGGCTGGGTACAGTGGCTCACACCTGTAATCCCAGCACTTTGGGAGGCTGAGGTGGGCAGATCACCTGAGGTCAGGAGTACAAGACCAGCCTGGCCAACATGGTGAAACCCTGTCTGTACTAAAAATATAAAAATTAGCCGGTGTGGTGGCGCAGGCCTGTAATTCCAGCTATTCAGGAGGCTGAGGCAGGAGAATCACTTGAACCCGGGAGGCAGAGGTTGCAGTGAGCCGAGATCGCGGCACTGTACTCCAGCTTTGGCAACAGAGCTAGACTCTGTCTTAAAAATAAAAATAAATGAGTCCTTAGGCAGGTGAAAGGCACACAGTAGGCGCTCAGGAAGAACAGCTGTGGTGGTTTTTAATAGCTCCGACAGATGGAAATAGTTTGGTGTGATGGGGAAGGAATACTATTAGCAGCCACATATAAAGTCCTTAAAAATGACCCCTGCAAATCCCCCTACACCATCCACACCCCTCCCACCCCGGCCTGCCAAACACACATTACAACTAAAACCTTTGAAACATCCCTTGGTGCCGGGCACGGTGGCTCCAGCCTGTAATCCCAGCACTTTGGGAAGCCGAGGCGGGTGGATCCTGAGGTCAAGAGATCGAAACCATCCTGGTCAACATGGTGAAACCCCGTCTCTACTAAAAATACAAAAAAAAATTAGCTGGGCATGGTGGCGCGTGCCTGTAATCCCAGCTACTCAGGAGGCTGAGGCAGGAGAATTTCCTGAACCCAGGAGGTGGAGGTTGCGGTGAGCCAAGATTGTGCCATTGCACTCCAGCCTGGGTAACAAGAGCGAAACTCCGTCTCAAAAGAAAAAAGAAACATCCCTTGGCTCTTTGGGGCTCTGATTTCCAACTGGCCCTGTCCGCTCTGTCCCAGGAAATGTTATCTTTCACAATGGTCTTTGCAACCAGTAGGATTCTGCTGCTGCCACCAGCCACCGCGGCCTCCCAGAACCCAGGGTGGGGAAGGGATTTGCAGACCGCACCAGGTGCAGCCTGGCTTTGGAAACAAGTGCCTCATTCCTGGAATTCTTGCTGGGAGACCCGCCCAGCTTGGCCTGAACCAGACTGGTGTCTGGCTGAGCTCCCAGCATCACCTGGGGGAAGAGGGGGGGGCCATCCCCAGGGACACCCTGTCCTGGAGGCGAGTAGAGGGTGGGGCCGGCAGACAGTCCTAGGGACTTTTAAGCAAGCTTAGCATAGGTTTAAATCCAATAGGAAGGTGAACGTAGTGGCTCACGCCTATAATCCCAGCACTTTGGGAGGCCAATGCGGGTGGACTGCCTGAGGTCAGGAGTTCGAGACCAGCTTGGCCAACATAGTGAAACCCTGGTCTCTACTAAAATTACAAAACATTAGCTGGCCGTGGTGGCGGGTACCCGTAATCCCAGCTACTCGGGAGGCTGAGGCAGGAGAATCGCTTGAACCTGGGAGGTGAAGGTTGCAGTGAGCAGAGATCATGCCATTTCACTGCAGCCTGGGCAACAAGGGCAAAACTCTATCTCAAAAAACAAAAACAAACAAACAAAAAAAAAACAGGAAGCAGGTTGAGGGTCTTTATTGAGCACCTGCTATGTGTCCCTCCTGGCAGGCGCCGAGGTAGACAGGTGTCCCTCTGTCATGAGCCCACAGTAGTGAGGGAGGTAGACAAGGAAGTGCCCCCTGGTGAGAGCCAGGATGCTGGCAAGGATGGAGGGGCCTTAAGGAAGGGACAATCCAGGTTTATTCGGGATTGTGGGGCTGCCAGAGACAGGGACTCCAGCTCTGGAACTGGGACTGTGCCAAAGTGGAGTGTCCTCACTGGAGATGGGCGATCTAGGGGGTCACCTTATAGGGTGGCCAGGGGAGGGGACATGATGAAGGGAGAACGAGGCTGGTGGGAAGCAGAACGGAGTGGACGGAGAGAATCTGACACAAGGAAGAAACTGCACAGTCCATGTCAAGAATAAGATGGGATCCTCTGGTCTACCCTGCTTCCTCTGTGCTGGGAAACTAGGGCCAGGGGAAGAAAAGGATAGTGGTATAGTGGGGGCTGGAAGCAGCTTTCTGGACACCGGGGTTGAGAGTGGCCAATCAGGATAAAGCTGTCAGGTGAAGACCCTGATGGGCCCCTGGGGAGGTCCTGGGGATGGGGAAATAGTGACATAAATCCCCCAACAGGCTGCCCTGGCATAGTTACCGTGGGAAAAGGAATTTGACATAAAATCCCACTGACCTGGGCTGGCAGCAGCCTTAGGGCTCCAGGCAGCAGCAGCAGCAGCTCCTTGAATGGTGGCCAGGCCAATGTGGCCTGCCAGCCTGGAAAGCTGATCAGCAGCTCCGGGAAACCCTAGGTCCTGGGCATTCCCAATCCCTCAGCTTCCACCACCCTCCCAAATCAAGTGCCATCGGAATTCGCTGCCCCCCAAAGTTTTGGGCTGGCTAGGAAGGGGCCAGTGCTCCCCAGCTGCCTGCTTCGAGGACACCACATCCCGCCAGGGGCTGTCTCCATCACTGGCTGGTAGCCCTTGCTCTCCAAGTTTGGTAGTCCACTGTCCCCAAGGAAATACTCGTCCCTAGGTGACAGCAGGGTTCTTTGAAAGTCCCAAGTCCTATAAGGCTGAAGTTCCGCATTTCAGCCCTGCTGCTACCATAGAGCCACGCTGCCTGCTCCTGATCCCACAGATGCCGTCTCTGAAGAGCCCACTCCCGGCAGCATTAAAGGTGAACTGGCAGGCATGTGGGTCCTGCCTTGAGCCAGGGCTCACTTCCCTGGTTGTGCCCACAGGCTGTGGGTCTGTGGCAGCTTTTCAACCTCTCTGAGCTTTGGTTTCCTCATTGTAAAAAGGAGATAATAAAGGCATCACATCACAGGCCTCTTGGGAGGGCGCAAGGAGGTACTAAATGTAACACACTGACGGGTTCCTGTGTCATATTCTGTGTTCAGGGCACACAAGTGTCGGTGCCACGTCACCCCACCCTCCTGAGCCAGTGCCCAGAGTGCTGTCTGTGATGAGGGCTAGGCTCAGCTCCGCCAGACCCAGGGGACACTGACCCAGGAATTACAGTGGAAAATATTTTCGCTCTGGAGGAGCTGCGGGCTGGAAGACTCACCAGGTTCCGGGAGGCCCAAGTGGGCACTGGGTGGTCAGGGGTGCCCTGGGAAGGAGAGCCAGGTGGGGAGGGTGCCCAGCAGACTTGGACTGTCAGGCTGACCTGAGATCCTTGAGTTGGGGTAAAGAGAAACCTGCTAGACATGTTGTATTTACTTATTTATTGTTGAGATGAAGTCTGGCTTTGCGCCAGGCTGGAGTACAGTGGCGCAATCTCCGCTGACTGCGACCCCGACTCCTGGGTTCAATTGATTCTCCTGCCTCAGCCTTCTGAGTAGCTGGGACTACAGGTGCCCACCACCACACCCAGCTAATTATTTTGTATTTTTAGTAAAGATGGGTTTCACCATGTTGGCCAGGATGGTCTCGATCTCTTGACCTCATGATCTGCCTGCCTCGGCCTCCCAAAGTGCTGGGATTATAGGCATGGACCACTGGGACCCGCCAAAATGTTATATTTATTAAAAAAATTGTTTAGAGAAGGCCAGGAGTTCTCCTGAGATCAGGAGTTCGAGGCCACCTTGGCCAACATGGTGAAACCCCATCTCTACTGAAAGTACAAAAATTAGGCGTGGGGGCAAGTGCCTGTAATCCCAGCTACTTGGGAGGCTAAGGAAGGAGAATTGCTTGAACATGGGAGGTGGAGGTTGCAGCGAGCCAAGATAGTGTCATTGCACTGCATCTGGGTGACAAGAGGGAGAGACTCCGACTCAAAAAAAAAAAAAAATTGTTCAGAGAAGCAGTTCTATTTTCAAATTCACTCCTGGTGGCTAAAGCCTGGTTAATATTTGGAAAAAGAAATCTTCGTGCTTTTTCCCCTCTTCTGTGATTCTTGTTTTCCCTTCTATTTTCACTTGTAATATTTTTTCCTGAGCCCGACAACAGTTTGGGTAGGATATAAAAGGATTTAAAACTTAGTAAAGCAAATTTCTTGCCTTTGTTAAATTGCTCTTCCTTGCTGGCGTTATATGGTTTCAGAATTTTGTTTTATTTTATTTTATTTTATTTTTTGAGATGGAGTCTTGCTCTTGTTGCCCAAGCTGGAGTTCAGTGGCCTGATACCGACTCACCCAACCTCCGCCTCCCAGGTTCAAGCGATTCTCCTGCCTCAGCCTCCTAAGTAGCTGAGATTACAGGCATGCACCACCATAACCGGCTAATTTTGTATTTTTAGTAGAGACAGGGTTTCTCCATGTTGGTCAGGCTGGTCTCGAACTCCCGTCCTCAGGTGATCTGCCCACTTTGGCCTCCCAAAGTGCTGGGATTACAGGCGTGAGCTATCCTGCCTGGCCGGGTTCAGAATTTTAGCTATGACTGCAGGGTGGATTGCAAAAACGCTGAACAGGGTTAGAGGAGTTTCTCATTTTTACTAGAAGGCTCTATCTCCTGAGGGTGGGGTGGCTGGGAACCTGGTTTGAGTTCTGAGGCTTCTGTGAGCCAGTCCCTTATTTTGCTCTGCCCGGAGGGCTGAAGGACTGGAAATACTTTTGCTTTGGGGCTGGAACCAGGGCTGCAGTTTGGGAGGCGGTGCTAATTTGGAAGAGGAGGCGGGGTCTGGTAAACACTTTAGCAGCATTGGGCAGTGGGAATTAGGGAATTTAGGGCAGGGGGAAGCTGGTTCTGAGTTTTAAACTGGGGAGTTGACGGATGAGAGCTGGAATTTTAGGAGTTTCTCTGTCTGGAGGTTTGGAAAAGAGCCAGGTGGGAGCTAGGGTGGGGAGGGGTGGGGAGAAGTAGATGGATCTGAGATCTGAAGCAGTGTGGGGGAGAACAGCAGGTGATGGGCGGGGATTCTGGCCCAGGCAGCCAGGTGGACGGAATGGAGATGGCCTTCATCCGAGCTTGGTTTGCTAACCTGTGACAGTCACTGTTCCATGCTCCAGGGCACCTGGCCCAAGGGACCAGGCCTTTTGGGCACACAGATCCACACGCAGCCCTGCCGGACCACACAGGAACCTTCCCTTCTGTGTCCTTCCTGGGAAGGGGATTCCAGACCATCTGCCAGTCTTTCGGTTCAGCCTTTCTGACAAGCGCACACCTCACTCTCCCCGGACATTTTTATTTCAAATGCTCTGTCCCTTTGTTTGCACGGGTTCCTGTGTCATATTCTGTGTTCCCATTTTAAATTGGAGAATAAGTGACTGCATGTTATTCTTCCCACAGGCCTAGTTGAGCGGGTAGGGAGGCCGTACCTACCTCCAAGGCTCTAAGAAGTGAAGCAGGAGGCGAGAATGCACAGTAGTCAGGGCTAGACGACCGGGCCTCACCTTCTAGGCCCCGGGGTCCTCCTCTGGGGACCACCCCCTTGTACCCGTAGGTGAAAATACCCGCCCAGGAGGAAAGGGTTGGCCCCAGAGAGCCCTGTGCAAAGTGAGTTTGCGCACTGCGGAGCGGGCGCGGGTGTCTCCAACGCGGCTCTCCCAGTCCGCGGGGCTGGGGAGGAGCAGGTGCGCGCACCGCTGGCTCTGTGCCAGCAGAGGCGGGAAGAGCAGCCGGCCCCGCGGGGAGGCGCAGCCCGGGCTTCCGAGCTCAGTGAACGCGCAGGCTCTGGGGCTTCTAAATGGGCCGGAGTCGTCCTGCCCGCCCAGGGTAGGCGGCCACATGGGGGGCACTGCGCCCGGGCGCGGCCCCAAGTGCTTTCCAAACGCCCACTGCCGCTGTCATCCGTACCGGCGATGATCCAGAAGGGGCCTGGTCGCCCGGGGAGGTGCCCCGGTCCGCCTCGATTCCGGGGACAACGCCAGGCGACGCCACCTGCGCGGGTCCCGGAGGGCCTCTGGTCCCAGTGTGCAGGGCGTACTCAGTCTTGGAAACGCGAGAGCACACTAGCACTTTCCTGTATGTATTATTATACTTCCATTTTTAGGAAGTGCATTAGAAGGGCCTGCGGCAGCTGAATTCGGGATTAAAGCTTTAAAGCGGGAAGCGTGCTCCCGGCGCGGTTCCTTTAAAGCGTTGGGCCTGCCCGAGGCATTCTGGCCGCAGCCGCGGCCCGTAGCGCTTCTCCGAGAGGCGGGCTTTGTGCGCTCGCCCCGCCTTTGGACAACGCCCCCTCCCCTCGCGCTACGCGCACTGCGCCCCCCGCCGCCTGGCGCCCCGCCGGAGCTGCCGCCTTGTCGCGCAGAGTCCGCGCTCCCGCCCAGGAGGCGGCCGACGCGACGTCCGAGCGCCCGGCCCCGCCGCCGCGGCCCGACAGGTAAGTGGGCAGCCGCCCGGCCCGGGGGGCACGAGGCGGGGAGTGGGACGGCGCCAGAAGCCCTCACATCGTCCCCGGCCGCCGCACGTGTTCCTTGCCGGGCCTCCGGCCAGGCCCAGCCCCCGGCGCTACCCCCACTGCGGCGGCCCCGCCCGGGACCCCCTCACGGGCTCCTCGGTGGACGGCCGCGCGCGCAGGCCCCTGCACCCCGCCCGCCCCCACCGGCGCTCCCACCTCCGATTCCCTGGCGGGCCGCTGACAAGGCCCGAGCGCCGGTACTGGGGCCTCTCCCTCGGCGGCGCGCCCGGCCTCACATCGCTCCTCTTCCTCCATCTCCAGGGAAGGACCAGACCCACGAGCCAGTCAGTCCCCGGACGTGGCGCTTCCCTTCGGTAGAAACGCCCCAGCCCCGCTCCCGCCGCTCACTCCAACCGGAGGCAGCCAGGCTGCACCTCGCTAGGTGGGGTCCTGGGGTTCGGGTCCTCGCTCCTGAACGGAGGGTCCCCCGCTCCTCCTCGCGCGGGGCCGCAGACCAGTCCTGGCCGGTCTGCGAGAGCCATCTTGAGCGGTTACGTTCCCGGACTAGACGGAGGTTGGGCTGTTACTTCCCGCTAACGACCTCCCTGCTGTCTCGCAGGCAAGTTTCCAGCTACCCAGGTCTGTTTTCCTATCTCCCAAATGCTTACGCTGTGACCTGGGCAGGTGCGGTGCTAGCCGGTGGGGAAGACAGATGGGTAAGCGAAGGACCCAGGCCGGGAGCCCGTCCAGGACCTGAGATGCGCAGCGCCGGGTTCCCACCGCTGTCGGGCCGGCCACCTGGCTGCTGTTTGGGATGCACATTCATTCCGGTCTGCACGCAGCATGCTCTCTTGGACAGCATGCCGCAGGCCGATTCCTGGGCTCCACCTTGGGGACTGAGGGACTCCGGAATCCGCCAGTGGCATCCAGCCCAGGAGAGCATACTGAGCTTTAGTTGCTGGGCTTCAGGTGGTCAGGCTTACCTGGATGAAAAGCAGCAGCTGCTAGGAGGAGCCAGGCCGCACCTGGGCGGGGGCGGGTCAACTCCTCATCACCGTGCATGGAACCTTCTTGGCCCCCACTTTTTCAGCATCAAGTCGCCAACCTTCCTGTTCCCTTAAAGTGATTCTTCACAGAAACTCCTGGGTGTTTATGAAATGCCAAGCTTTGGGCTGGGTGTGGTGGCTCACACCTGTAATCCAGCACTTGGGGAGGCTGAGGCAGGCAGATTGCTGAGCTCAGGACTTCGAGATCAGCCTGGGCAACATGGCAAAACCCGTCTTTACTAAAAATGCAAAAA